GCTCTGCGGGCTCCTTGGGGTGGAAGCTCTCCTGCAGCCCCCCGATTGACCCCGCCCCCCCGGATGGCAGCCTGCGGCAAGTGCAGCCAGGCTGATGGCCGAGTGCTGTGATGTGCCGAGTGTGGGCACTCAGGGCACTACAAGCCAGGACTGCTTTGCTGTCCCTCATCAAGTTAGACAAGCGAGCGGGGAACCCCTGAGAACTGTCTGTCCGGGGTGGGGGTCGGGTCCCTTTAAGCACAGCCCTTGGCTAGCCTGAGACAGCAGCTCCACGCTCTAAGTCCTAATCTGATGCCCTGCCGGCACTGCTTCTGGCCAGCCTTAACTTCGGTTCAGGGTCCACTCAATGTGTACATTCTAGTTCGAATTAGCAAAATGCTAATTCGAACTAGTTTTTAGGTCTAGATGCACTAGTTCGAATTAGCTTAGTTCAAATTAACTAATTCGAATTAAGTTAGTTTGAATTAGTGCTGTAGTGTAGGCATACACTGTGTGTGGCTGTTGCCTGAGGTATCTGAGGCTTGTGGTTAAAGGGACAGACAAATACACCCCCGGCTGGCCGGTTCTCAGGCTGCTTGCTTGCCTGCCTCACTGCGGGACAGCAAAGCATTTGTGTCTTGGAGTGCTTTGGTTGCCCTCACTCGAGACATCATAGCACTCTGCAACATGGAGACAGAGCTGCCCCTGGGCACTCTGGTGCGTCTCGTGGATGCGTTGCCATCAGCCTGGCTTCACCTGCTGCAGGATACCATCCGGGATGTCCATCGGGGCGCTGTCGGTATCCAGGTAGCCCTGCGGGAGAGCGTCCACCCTGAGGAGCACTCAGAGCCTCCCTGGTCTGCCCCACTGGGGGCTTGTGCCTCATTCCTCCCTCACGTCCTTTCACTTACCCCTCCCTAGCCCCCCTTCCTAATGTTAAATAAAATACATGTATTTTCATAAATGCAAACTCTGTTTATTTCACAAAACTGGGGGGGGGAGGGGAATGAAACCCTGGTGAGACTTGGAAAAGGAGGTGGGAGACGGGAGAAGAGAGGGTGGGAGAGGGGAGGGGGACACCTGAGAGGAGGGACCTGGAAGGGTGAGGCAAGGGGAGGAAGGGGGAGGAGAAGTTCAGGGTTGGGGGTCTTGTCGGCCCTCCTGCCTCGCAGCACTGTGTGTGCAGGGGCATCGGCGTCCCTTGGGGGGAGCAGGTGGGGCAGATGGATGGGGGGGCGGGAGGGAGGAAGAAGTGGGAGGGGGAGTAGGACTGAGAGGAGGAGCAAGAGCTAGGGTGGCCACTGGGGCTGGAGCGGCAGCAGGCACCAATCTCCACACCAGGGTCTGCAGGTGATCCTGTATGGCACTGCCCTGGGCAAGCAGCTCCCTCAAGACCCTCCCACTGCAGCTGCAGGTCTTTCTCCACCCAGTGCTCCTGGCAGCGGACCTGCCTAGCATCTAGTACCTGGTGCTGCTGGTAGTACTCCTCCAGGGGGCGGGTCATCCTGCTGGCCCAAGTGCAGGAGGCTGTCCTGGGCGGGGTGGTGAGCACTGCACTTGCGGCTAGAGCAGGTGTGGAAAAACCAGAGACATTCTCTGTTATCCCTAGGGACACAGTGGGTGAAACTCAGCCCCCCTCTGCAAGGCGAGGGTGGCAGGTCTCCGTACCATCATGCCCTGCTATCTCTGGGAGAGTGAGCTGGCCCGGGACTGCGCCCATGCCCCTGTGCTGTATATAGTGGGGGGGGAGAAGGGGGAGAGGGGAGATGTGCCCTGCCTCTATGTAGAGGGGGCTTCTGGAGGGAGGGCATTGTGCAGTGTCTCTCCCAGGGGTCAGGAGCATGTTGTGTGCCTTCATACATACATGCGTGCGGGTAAGAGACCAGGGCCCCCGTGTGGCAGGCAGCCGAGGTCACATGCCCCAGCTGGTGCAGCACATGCACAGGTTCCTGCATGATCCATGGTCAGCAAGGCCCACATGCGCAGTCCCTGGGCTCCCTCTCACCCCCCCATCCCCTCCCTGCAGAAAGGGACAATGATGGCACTCACATGTCGAGGCCTCCCCGGCGTCGGACGACACAAGTGACAGGTTTGCTGGCACGGCTCTGGATTCCGGGGTGCGCAGCACACTCCCTCCAGGCTCCTGGGACTCCCAGCCATCGTCCTCTTCCTCCTCCTCCATGTCCTGGTCAGGGCCCTTGGCCCCAGGGTCGATGACCACCGGGGGGCACGGACTGTCTGATCCCCCAGGATGCGGTCTAGGGCATCAAAATACGGGAAAGGGTCTGGGTCTGCCCCTGCTTGGGAACCGCCCGCTGCAGTCCTGGCATAGGCCTGCGGCAGCTCTTTAATTTTTGTGTGCACCTGCACCTGCACATGTGGCTTTTGGTGGCCAGGCTGTCCGCCATCCTTCGGTAGACGGCCGCGTTCCTGTGTCTAGTGCGGAGATCATGGACGTTGGAGGCATCCCCCCAAACCTCAATCAGGTCCATGATCTCCGCACTGGACCAGGATGGTGCCCGCCTTTTCCATCCCCTGGCAGGCTCCTGGGAGCTGCCAGACTTGTCCTAGGGAGTGGTGGAAAGCTGGCTGGCACTGGGTTGCTGGCTCATGCTGGCACCTGGGTCAGGGGCATTGCCTGCAGGCTCTGGGCTGGCAGGCTTGCAGCTGGCACAGGCCCTGTGGCCAAAGGGCCCCTGCCCCCTTAAGGGCTCCAGGGCTGGAGGGGGAGCAGTAGAGTTTTCCTGGTTTGGCCCAGAGTGGCCCCCAGGGGGAACTGAGAAGGGCTGGATGCCAGCTAATTCGGACTAAGCGTCTACACAGCGCTTATTCCGAATTAGCTAATTTGACTTTGGCGTTACTCCTTGTAGAATGAAGTTTACCAAACTCAAATTAATCGCCCCTCTATTTTGAATTTAATTTGAAATAGCGGTTTGCTTGTGTAGATGCTATGGAAGTTAATTCAGAATAACAGCTGTTATTCCGAATTAACTTTGCAGTGTAGACATACACTCAGGCTGTGTTGTAGTGAGACAGCAAACATCTTGCATGATACTTTGCCTCCTGGACCACTAAATCCATTCTACTTTTGCAAACATGTGCTGTTCTTGTGGTCTATCAGTACAGAGGACCGACGCTCTATGCAGGTCTTCTGAGGGTAAATTCATTTCACAAATAAAGCACATTTCTTTTTCTGGAGGCCCCTTGTCTTCATCTCTTAAATGTGTGAATTTCCTCTGCAGTTCATGAAAGTGATCCACAGCCTTCTGAGGTCTTTTATTTTTTCTCCTTGGTCCTTTCAAGTTTGGTCCTATAGAAATTAATTTAGCAAGATTTGTACTGTCCATTGTTCTTGTTCAAAGTCTTTTCAATACCATCTTCATAGGCATCCAATAGCCTAGGCAGGGGAAGGTCTCAAACCACCAGGCCTGGCCCTGTCCACACTGAGCCCCCAGAACTCTTGCTGTCGGCACTCTGGGGACAGAGTGTTGCTGTCCCCAGTATCTGCCCTCCTTGTGCTCCGGGGCCAGGGAGGCTGGAACCACGCAGCCTCCTCCTTCCACCATGCTCTGGGAGCTGGGGGGCTGGAGCCACACGGCTTCCTTCCTTCCTGGGGCTCAGGACTGGGGAGGCTAGAGTGTGTGTGCTTGCATCTTCCTCTTTGTTCCCGTGCCTCCTCCCCTCCCTCAACGTGTTAGCGCAGTGCAGCTTTGTGACTTACACTCAATTGACTTTCAAACCCTATGACTGGGAGCACAGGAAAGTCAGTGGGGCTGGAGGTATCGCATACATGGATTTCACGTAGACATTCAGATGTTATAGAGTAGGTGATGTTGGTGTTATCACAAACCAAAGAGCTGAGGCTGAAAAGCAAGTTCCGCTGAAGGTGGAGCTAGGGACCTGCCTCCCATAGCTCTAGCTGTATCGACCACTCATTACCATCACCATCATCTAATCTGCATTTGTTTATGAATATGGGAAGTGCATTGACTTTATGGAAATGTCTGATATTTTCTGCTAAAGTTCAATAGCCAGAACTTGCCAGCTGCCTATACCGGCCGCTTGAATTTGCGCAAGAACACTGACGATCTAATGTAAGATTGTCAGTGTTCTTCCGCAAATACTATGCTGCTCCTGTTCGGGAAAAAGCCCTCTTGCGCAAATGTATTTGCGCAGGAGGGCCAGTGTAGACAGCTAAAAACTGTTTTGCGCAAAAAAGCCCCGATGGCGAAAATGGCAATCAGGGCTTTCTTGCACAAAACCACGTCTAAATTGGCACAGATGCTTTTCTGCAAAAACTGCTTTTGCGCAAAAGCGTCCGTGCCAATCTAGACGCTCTTTTCCGCAAATGCTTTTAACGGAAAAACTTTTCCGTTAGAAGCATTTGCGGAAAATCATGCTAGTCTAGACATAGCCCCAATGTTTTGCTCTCCCCAATCTTTGTAACAGAATTTAAACTTAACATGGTTATTTAATTCACTTATGCTTTAGTGCACCAACATTTTCAAAGCATATGGTGTTTGTTAATTAACTGCTGCTTCAGAGGGCGCACAAGAGGACAAACTGTTTTTATGGAAGACCAATTAAAATGTTGCAACTTCGAATGCCTACATTAGCCACCCTAGTTCGAACTAGGGTGGCAGTGTAGACATACCCAATGATATTACTTTTAAAAGTGGTTAAATAAATAGAAAGCAACTGACCACATTTAAAGATCATTTTAAGTAGTTTGTTGGGGTTTTAATTATTGTTGATCATATCATTAGAAATTAGAAAGACTGTTGTTTTTCTTTCACATTGTGAAAATATTGATTAATGGGATTATTTTCACTCAAACAAAAATCAAACAACTCCACTTTATAAAGAATGCTACCTTGCCAACCATCATTGTTATTTTACCTAAACATTACTTATTTGATGTTGCCAACAGAGAACATGAATGTATTTTTGTGTGCTCCTACAATAATCTTATTTTTGGATAATGAAGAGATAGATTGCAGTCTTAAAAGACAAATTTAGGCAACTTTCCCTGACAAGATTAACAACATAAACAATAATAACCTTTAATGAAATAGGACTGACCAAATAATCCAGTCAGAAGTGAAGACTCATTTTACTTAGCAACAATATAGGTAAAATTTTTAACTTAATAACTTTGAATTGGTATTCATGAATGTTTCCAGGGAGGACAAAAGGGCAAATTGTATTTGTATTTACAGTGAAATGACTCAAGGTTCAGACACTATGGAAATCAATGGAGGTTCTTGAGTTTTATGCCACTGGAAATGAAAGCACAATTTTGTATAAATTGAATTCTGCAACTAATTTCAATGGGACAGGAAACAGTCCTCTGGATATCCCTTAATCAAGTCCAAAGTCTCTTTAAGTGAAGATACATGATTATGCTCTCAATTATATAGTGTAGAACCAGAAGAACTCCATTGATTGATATTTTCAGGGGAGCTGACAGACTTGCTGGGCCCCTGGGCAAGGTAGGGGTGGAGAAGGTGGTTCCATGCTTCCATAAGGGGCGGGATTAAGGGAGCCAGCCTTCAGTGCCACCCAGAGTGCAATGCAATGTGCCTCCCTTCCCCAGAACAGCCTTCTGAGCTGCCCGGAGTGCACAGTGTGGTTAGGGTTGCCAGATGGTTTCAACAACAATACCGGACACACTTGACATTACATCACAATATACATTACATCTTGTTTCGAAAATACTGGACATTTATATTTTCTCATTTATATTTTCTCAATTTGTTTCCTGAATAGAAAGCTTAAATACTGGACTCTCCGGTTCAAAACTGGACACCTGGCAACCCTAAATGTGGTGCTCCGGCAGCAATTTAAAGGGCCCAGGGATTCTGGCTGCCACTATTGCAGCCAGAGCCTCAGGCCTTTGTGAACCTCCAGGCCGCAGGACAATTGCCCCCTTTCCTTTCTGATATCAACATGCCCGGTTATTATTATTATTACCTATTGTTCCAGTAACATCCAAAGACCCTATTTGGTTATGCACTATATTAATGCATAAGGAGCAGTCTTAAAGCTAAACTTGTGTTTAAATATGTTTCCTGAATAGGTGTGCTTTCCTTCAAGGCCAGTACAGGCAGTCCCCGGGTTACATGGATCCGACTTACATCGGATCCCTACTTACAAACGGGGTGAGGCAACCCCACACTAGCTGCTTCTCCCCAGCAGACCAGGGAGACGCAGAGCGGCTTTTCTCAGGTGTGGGAGAGTAAAACTGAGCTCTGGAGAAATGTTTGGCTAGAGTTTCCCCTACAATATGTACAAATTCAACTTAGGGACAAACCTACAGTCCCTATCTTGCACGTAACCCGGGGACTGCCTGTAGTAGGCAATAAGGGAGGAATTCAGAGGATGGCAGAAATGAGGTCACATGATTACACTGAGTTACAATGTGGAAAACCTGATTGTTCCAATCATTTACATGTTTTTAAAATGTACTACATTTACATCTATACTTCATTTGTGTTGTGAGCAAGACATGAGAAGTCATTCTTCCCCTCTACTCTGCGCTGATTAGGCATCAGTTGGAGTATTGTGTCCAGTTCTGGGCACCACATTTCAAGAAAGATGTGGAGAAACTAGAGAAAGTTCAGAGAAGAGCAACAAGAATGATTAAAGGTCTAGAGAACATGACCTATGAGGGAAGACTGAAAGAACTGGGCTTGATTAGTTTGGAAAAGAGAAGATTGAGAGGGGACATGATAGCGGTTTTCAGGTATCTAAAAGGGGTCACAAAAGGAGGAGAGAGAAAATTTTCTTCCTGGCCTCTGAAGATAGAACAAGAAGCAATGGGCTAAAAATGCAGCAAGGGAGGTTTAGGTTGGACATTAGGAAAAAGTTCCTAACTGTCAGGGTGGTTAAACACTGGAATAAATTGCCTAGGGAGGTTGTAGAATCTCCATCTCTGGAGATATTTAAGAGGTTAGATAAATGTCTTTCAGGGATGGTCTAGACAGTACTGGGTCCTGCCATGAAGGCAGGGGACTTGGACTCGATGACCTCTCTCTCAAGGTCCCTTCCAGTCCTAGTATTCTATGATTCATTTATTTCTATATAACTGAAAACAGCATTTAGCCATCTGTTTTTAGGAAAAAAGTTGAAAGGTATTAAAATATACAATTATTCTTTGAAAAG